GGTGTTCCGTGGTGTTCCGGCGTTCCTGATTTTAGTACATGCCGCTTCGCTTTCCCCTATAAAAATTTGCCGGTTACTCATTTTAGCGATATATAATGATATAAATACTGACGGCTCGCAGTGAGAAGAATTAAGGCTTCAAATTGTATTTAAGAACGACTGTGACCTGGACGCTTTGTTGAAAACAAAACATACCTGGGAACGGCGAGGAATATTCCACAATGATGTAAATGATGGCGAAAGATGATCGCGGAAAAGCGATTGTATTAAGCGTTTTCACTTATAGTTACACCTTTAGTCTTAAAAGAGCTTTAATTCGGTTACACATGTGCTAACTGCGACGAGTATTTTAATCAAAATCGAAACTCCTTCGAAGAAAGGTCGTGTTAAATTTTAACGTCGCAGCATTATTTCGGAAATGTGATAGAGGCGTTCCCATATAATTTCGGAAGGTCGCTATCAATATTGATCTGTCGTCGAAATATCGATTTGTTTATATCTGAGTGAGTGTCCATTTGCATATTCTGCCCCATTCCAATACAGTAAACACCCGAAAATAAGAACATTATTTTTTGGCAGTCTGGCAAAAAAGGTTCTTGTTTAAAGAGGTAGTTGTTGGTAAATTTGGCAAAACAGGTTCTTCCTTAGGTTCTTAATTGCTAATAAGAGGGGGATACAGTTGTCATTGTTTTGCATATATATCATAAGAATAATAAATAAGCTTTATAAGGGCTAAAATCATATACTGTATAACTGTATAACTGTAACTTTCAGCTACTGTAACAAGTAAATAACACTAAATGGTGCTATTTCTATAGAACTAGCTATATAGCATAAATAGTGTTTGCACTACTGTATTATAATTGGGCATTTTGTGTAAATTATCTTCTATTTCTTTTCCACACACCACTAAATTGTGTCAGTAACTTGTGGTCTGTTTATCCTGTAATTTAGCAGTAACCCATATTATAAGAACCTGCTTGATCATGTTTGGCTAAACAGGTTCTTATTTAAAGGGGTATTAAAATGGCAAATTTCTGCCAAGAGGTTCTTAATCCAATAGGTTCTTATTTTCGGGTGTTTACTGTAGTCGTTTGTACGCTTCGCGTACCCACGACTAAAAGGGTACCAAGGGGGTTAAACAGCATTAACACAAAGGTTATCAGTTACGATTCACCACCTTTAAAGAAGTCCAAAATTTGCAAGGTTGGGTCTTTTTTCATTGCATCTAAAACTCATCAGCACGCCTATAAAAATAGATTAATTGCTGATATCTCTCACCTTAAGAAGATTTGACATTTGAACATCCAATGGTTCTTTTATTGAATTCTTGAAAACTTCGAGCTTGTATAAATTTGAAAGACACCTACAAGCAAACAAACATATAAAAGGATCAAACCACATCAATGGTCCTGGCCACATCCAGGGAGAAGAACTCTGAAGGAAAAATGAGCTGAGCTCATGTTGTAGGTTTAACTTACTCCAGTAAGTTTATTAAGCGACTGAGCTTTCCTTTATCTGTGGCAGGAAAAACGTCTCGATATTTTATTAATAACCTCCAACATTTATCTGTGAATTTCTTCAACGACCTGACCAGTGAATGTTCCTGAAACATGCAGAAACAAGATGCAGGTTATCAAATAATAATTCACAATTTATACTCACGGCCACAGCCAGCTTCCATTATGCACAGAGCTTAAAACTCGTCTGAAATTCACCCTAGAAAAAAGCATCTCTAAAACTAATTCCTCAGTTCTACTATGGTTTTCTTACAGTCATTCTTACATGTACCTCTCCTTGGCTAAGTGCTCTAGTCTTCCATTCCTTCTGTAGAGTGCACACCAATACGTTTAACGATCTGTACTTCATTGGCTCCAGCCAGTGATGGTGACTGAAAAGCATCCAGCGACTAAAAAGCATGTACAAAGGAAAAAATCAATGTAAATAAGTAATCTGAACACTTGCTTCCTCATTTCACATTCCCTCCATAAACAAAAGTAGTAGTAATAGTTTTATCTTGAAAGGTTACTTAGAAAAATCCCTCTTTCAGTTGTAAAATTTAGTCTGTGCGCAATTATAGTTGCTCAGTTCTAAACTTCACTCGTTCTGTGCTTCGCACGTATTCTCTTTCATATACTCTTTCAGGTTTACGGCCAATCCGATTGGTTGCAAAAATGACTGCTCTTTTTACGCAAACATTCGATCGGTTGTAAACTTGACACTGGAAGTTTTATGCACTCATTCCGTCTTTTGTGGGAATAACTCTATCAGTTGTGCGGTTTTCACTAGGTCAGTTGTAAAAATTTCTCTACCATTGCTCGCTCTTTAATCTGTCGGTTTTACTACCTAGCACAAGACAGATGTTTTATATTGCATGTTTATATGGCAGTGTCTCACAAGGACTGGGAACTACCGGATTCGCGAATTTGAATGGCTGAAATCAATATTGAAAGCGGTCTAGATTTTCCCATCTAGACCGGCATCTAGACCGGTCTAGAAAAAAAAGGTACAAAGAATATAAAAAATTGGCATATAAGACACAGCCATATAATAAACATCTTATTAACCGAGCTAGGTCGGTCTGTATGGGAGAATCTTGACCTCGGTCTGTACTGGCGACCTCGGTCAAGATTCTCCCATACAGACCTCCCGCTCGGTTAATAAGAACTAAGTAATATTCATTCTGCTTTCTGTAACGACCGAGACTTCTGGGTGTCTCATTCGTGTGATGTTAAGAAGAAATAGGACGACGAAAATAAGTTATTTAAAAAACAAATAGCACAGCATTTTGAACGAGTTTGTACAGCTCCTAGACATTAAGTGTCTAAATGAAGTATGAGTAGGTAACTCACATGCTGACTTGTTGAAGTTCGTTTAACTCATTCTGTAGAGCATGTTGACTAAGAATGAACTCTGCTTGTGGACAGAGCTCAATTGAATTTCTTTTGCTGTCAGTGTCCTATGAAAGTTCAAACATAGACGTTTCTCACAAGATCTATATGTTACAATTCTCAGAGACACAATATAAATTGTTATTTCAGTGCGGGCGAATTTCGCGGATATTTATTTACGGGAAGTGCGTGACAGAAGTATTCTAGGCGGAACGGAATTGGCGCGTTGTCGTGTTGCTTTTTCTATTCTCTTCAGTAAATGATGAAATTTCCTTGCCGTCTAACAGCTTTTCTTCGTTCGATTTATCTAATAAACTTGGATCAATACTCGCCAGCCATTCTGACTCTTCGTCCTCAGAAAAATTATTTAAATTGTCCGCCATTTTATTGGTAGCTTCAATCACAGGCGGCCCAAGCGTATTGTATGTGATTTTAGGGTGTAAAGTTCATCAAATTTTAAGCGTAAGCGTGGGCCGTTAAAAAAGGGAAAAATTATAAAAAAAAAGGAGAAAAAATCAAAAAGGATAATAAAAGCGAGGAATAAAACATGTGAAGCCTCCTTACCTCAGTTTTTTCCGTAGCCAACGGTCGTTTTCATGCTGTTTTGGCGACTTTCTTTGTTACGCGTGCGGTATTACCAGTCAACTGTATAAAAGGAAAATAATTAGAAAAAATTATATAGAGTTCAGTTGACTGGTAACACCGCATGCGTTACAAAGAAAGTCGCCAAAACATCGTTAAAAGGACCATAAACGACAAAGCAGCTACGGAAAAAAGGTAGGAGACTTCATAGAGAGGCAGATCCAGGTACAGGTATCCCAAGCTCACGTCTCGAGCAAAAGCGAAGGATTATTTCATAAGCGTCACGCGTTATGTGACGCGGTGTTAAGTTACGCCACAGGT